AAACGGGACGTTTCGCAAACCCACAACTGACTGTTCCCGCCATTTTCATGGCGTCATGCAATTGCAATCAATGCTCATCTATACTTTTCGGTGAAGTGGTAGCTAGCCTAGAGGCTAGCTCGGTTCGATACGTACTTGCAACAGAAGTTGCAACCAGCTTGCTAACATCAATCTTTTGGTGGTGGTCACTTCGTTGGCCACTGAAAAGTAAGGCAAGATTGGCGCAGACCAAGGCATGGTCAGAGTCCAGATAGGTACTCCAAAAGGAGCGGCAGTCTTGTACACAACCACGCCAGCGGTAGCTGATCGCGATGTGATCAATCTGAGTCCAGGCTTGAGATGCAGAGGGAGGACGCCAGGTGGCACATCGGCGATGACTGTGCCGAAAGTTAGTGCTAGCCAGAAACAGGTTGTGGTCTGTGCAAAGTTGCAGTAGACGGTCCCCGTTATCTGACCTGCGACCAACGAGTCCCCATCGGCCACCTAAACGACTCTCTTCTGTGCCTAGACGCCCGACCTGAGCATTCAAGTCTCCGGCTAGTACTACAATATCTGTCGAACGCACTTTCTGGAGAAGAACTGATAACTGGTGGTAAAACTCATCCTTGATTGCATCCGGGCTGCAATCTGTCGGGGCATAGGCGGAGATGACGAAAAGACATCGTTTCTCACGCCGATTTCTTCTCACTTTGATGGAACTTTCTAATCTAACAGCACATAACCGACTGTTAATGGGGATCCAATCGACTAGTGCTGCCTCAGCTCTAGCGCTTAGTGCGACACCAACGCCAGCAAAACCAGACGAAGATGCCACAGGGTCCCCGGATAAGCGCACGTAAAACAGGCTTTTCGAAGCGACAGATGGAGATCGAATTTGTAGCACTTCGCCAGAGTCTTGAATACGGGTCTCGGATAGACAACACACGTCGATATTAAGACTTTCCAAAGACATAGCCAGCCCTATCTGTTGTCCGACCTGCATAAATGTGCGAACGTTGAAGGCAGCCAGTTTGAATGGTGCACGTGGTTTCAGAAAAACTGCTTCAGTCCTCGTATTCGGTGGTAACATACAATTTTCAACCGGACAGTGACTCGAGAACGTTTAGATACAGTCGGATTTCCACCAAAGACGAGCCGCTGTATAAGTATAAAAGAGGGTGAATAATGTGGAAAATAATAAAAATAATAACAATAATGGCAATAATAGTAGTAATAATAATATTAGTATTAATAATGACAATAATTGTAATGATAACAATCTGAATCAATTGTTTGTTTTTCAAAGCGAGAAAGGTAATTTCCATAGGCATAAAGAGTTCATCAATTTGTGTGTGGGCTGTGATACTGCCCGGGTGCCCAAACCGAAGCAGGCGGTTATCTTAGGGGGCCACACCCCGAGCCTTTGACCTAAAGGTCTAACCCACAAGGCAGTGGAGCATCGTGAGGAGATGCAGTCCCATGGTAGCCGGTGACCAACGATTGGTTCATACGCCATTCGTTCCCGCAGGATACTGGAGCCCATGTGCACCATTGATTTGGAATCCGGTTAAAGCGCCGGACATTCGCTTTTCGTCCTCTCATTTTCGTAAACAACACCCCTGCCACGAGAAGGCAATGAGTAGGACTTCCCTGGCAGAGGCTGTATACGCGTGGCCGTGTAAGAGTATTTCGAGAGGGAGAGCGGACTCTCCCCACTCTCAGCCGTACTAAGGCATTCAGGGGGGCTACTAACTGTTCGTCAGGGCTGTCCACTCTCTCCATTCTTGTTTAACTTTGTCGCTGACATGCTTTTAGAGATAACACTTTCCACATCTGAACTTCTATCAGGAGATTCACTTGTTGACTTAGAGTATGCCGATGATATATTTGGTGAGGACGCTGACAAAAGGCAATCTTCTGACCACTGTAAGCAGCAATGTAGGCATGTTCGGAATGCGATTCTTCCTCTCGAAATGCAAAATGTTGCTTCAGGATTGGGTTACATCGACACCCGAACTAGTGATAGGGAGTGAAGTAGCTGAGTGTGTCGACCGCTTCACTTATCTTGGAAGTCTCATCAGCCCTTGTGGTCTGGTGTGTGACGAAATCTCAGCACGGATACAGTAGGCTCGACTAAATTTTGCCGACTTGCGTCATTTATGGCGTAGGCGAGATATCCGTCTATCAACCAAAGGACGGGTTTACTGCGCATTGCCATTATGATCACCACTAGAGAAATATATTTCGATTGATAGTTTCCAATTTACAACTAAAATTTGATGACTCAACCCACATTGATTTTCCCGTTATTTGAGCAGAAGTGTGTAAGTGTATCAACCGACCATGGACACATCTAGATGAAGGCGTTCGGTCACACATGCCACGCTACGCATCCCTTACCACTGCTACCCAGATTAGATTAAATGCTTCGTAATATATCGATAGCCTTTCAAATATTTCTTCCAGCCTCTTCACCTCTGACTTCTGATTTGACCGGGTTGGAATACTTCGATGACAAAGATGTTACATGTAAAGGTGTTGCCAAACTCCGAATGCCTGTGGCATCTTCGATTCCACTATAGAGGATCCATCAGGTGTCGTTGCCATCGTTTCAGTTAGGAAGTCCTCTTGCCAACTAGAACCACAATAGGGCCTTAGGTGAACGCCAAAATAGGTCTGAGTGATTCTGATATCTAGCTACCTGATATTCTGGGAATAGAGCGGAAAAGTTAGTAAGCGCTCATAATAATAAACTTCTGCAAAGGAGGGTACACGCCATTTTTACAGGCATGATCTATAAATTACAACATTTACTGCTTCACAGTATGCATGTTAAATAAATATAGTCGATAAAAGTGAATATCAGTTCATTCCTTCAGTTGTCTTGTCTGAATATGATGAACAATTAACTGGAATAGTATAGTAACACAAGCATTCACTGATCAGAGGCGATAAATTTCTCCGCACACCTCAGATCCACTTGCAAATACATACAATGTTACCTTAACACACTTTTTGTCTTATAAACACTACAGCAAATACTTCAGACGTTGTTAACGTGATTCGATAACCTAATTAGTACATTGATTAACGAACGACCTTGCACCTATTTATATCCGATAATTTTGATTATATTTCCGTAAAAAAGCTTGGACAAGATTGCCGAGCGAAACTTCGGATTAGTTTCATATTCAGAGATTTTACAGATATATTCTTCTTCCTGGCATGTATCTACATCTTGGGACCCGATATAGGAAGTAGTGATTAACTAATAAATTCCAGTGTCATGCAATATTTTTTCCTCATACAAGCATAACTTTGTAAATGAACTAAAGATTAGATAATAAAACTAATTAAAGTTATTATCAGGTACATATATATTTATGTTTTTGATTGAGATCATGAACCGATTGACGTTACACCATCTTTGCAAACCTGGAAGCACTTGATGGCCGTTTCGTCCTATTGTGGGACTACTCAGCAGTGCGAATCCACGATCCCGCCCCCCACGAGATTCAAACTCAGGGCCTTCGGTCTCGCGCGCGAACGCTTAACATACTGGACCACTGAGCCGGCATCCAGTGGCGATAGTGTCCAACATCAACCAATCCACGAAACTGCGCGACCAACTTCCACTGTACTGAGGTAGATACTTGTCTCTACCCGACATGGATTAGCCCCACTGGTTACGGCTTCTCACTAGAACTCCAAGAATCCCCTCACGAAGCTAGTCACTAGTGAGCACATGTTGATTACTAGTATAGGGGTTGTGGATCATGATCTCAATCAAAAACTTAATAATCTCCACAACCTCTATACTAGTACAGAAATAGTTAGATTTCACTAAGAACTGACAGATACTTTCATCAGCATCAGCATTACTATCTTAGGTCGCCGCCTACCAACACACTTCATTCAATCCTGTCGTAGGCAATCTTTTCTAACTTTTCAAATGTTTGTTTTGAATATACATATATATAATCCTCATGTATATACTTACTTACGCCTGTTACTCCCAATGGAGCATAGGCCGCTGACCAGAATTCTCCAACCAACTCTGTCCTGGGCCTTCTTTTCTAGTTCCATCCAATTCTTGTTCATTTTTCTCATGTCTATCTCCATTTCTCGGTGTAATGTGTTCTTTGGTCTTCCTCTTTTCCTTTGGCCTTCAGGATTCCATGTGAGGGCTTGTCTTGTGACGCAGTTCGGTGCTTTCCTCGACGTGTGTCCTATCCACTTCCAGTGCTTCTTCCTCCGTTGGGATCTGGTTTGTTCTCTCCCATAGTACGTTGTTGCTAATAGTGTCCGGCCAATGGATCTGAAGTATTTTGCGTAGACAACTGTTAATAAACACCTGTATTTTCTGGATGATGGCTTTTGTAGTTCTCCGCCTGGAGTCCCTCCAGGGGCTACTGCCGGTCCCAAGCCCGGATAAAGGAGGAGGGTTGGGCATCGAGTTAGCGTCCCTATCCCGTAGAAAACTAACTCGCTAAAAAAACGCTAACCAGAAAAATTATTCAAACCTCATGTATATAAATTACATAATAATAAAACACACATTTTGAGCACCGAAGAAGAAAGATTTATTTATTAATTCTCAAATACATAACTGATAATAATAATAATAATGATTTATCATGAATTGTATTTGTGCGATAAACATTATTATTATTATTATTATGAAAGAGACAATCAGACAGAGGAACAATACAATGTCAATCTAATCATATGTTTAGACTAAACATAAGTGAAAACTGAAGTTAGATACTGCATACAAAATGAAATAAGAATAAGACTAAGCAAATAGTATCATCATACAAATGGAAAATATTCTCTTCATAAAACAGAAGATATACATACACCGTTTCTTTCTTTCTTTCTTTTATTATCATTTGATTACTCACTCATATTAATTATGTAATATAACTTATACAACAATAAACAACAAATGAACCGATATATAAGTGATTGATTGTTGAATGAATAAAAAAGAGTGAAATATAGTATGTTTTAGTTGATGATTAGTACTTCCTGTCGTCAGATAATCCACTACTACAAGTAAAATAGAATAATAATAATAATAAAGAAACAAGATAATACCACATAGAACAAATATCATTATAAATAAATAAAGAAGATTATTTGTAATATCTCAATGACGTTTCGTGACTTGATGTAAGTCACTTCTTCAGAGTAAATAAATAATCAAATTAAAATGAATCCAAGTTTAAATAGTACAACGGAACAATAAGAATAATATGTGATCAATCAAAAACAGGTCTGAACAAGTTAATATGAAGTAATTTTAATTTAGTTATTTATTTGCTTTGAAGAAGTGGCTAACATTAAGTTACGAAACGTCAGAAAATCTAATTTTTCTACTCATTAGGATATTGCAAAAGTGTAGTATTTATTTATTTATAACAATCTATCCAATGCTCAACTTAATCGAAATTATCAAATCAAACCTTGGTAATGATACCTAGAATATGTGTAGAAATTATATTTGAAATAATCTCAGCGATTCAAATTTAAAACAACAATTCCAATGTTTCACGTCCAGCTAACTTGTCAAAATCAAAATCGTCAAAGAAATATATAGCGTTTTAACAATCAAAACTATACGGTGTTAAACCAATCAAGTTTGGATGTTGTTTTGAAAGCTATATATTTCTTTGATGATTTTGATTATTCTAACCTGAAGAAGTTCAAACAAGTTGGCTGGACGTGAAACGTTGGAATTGTTATTTTTGAATTTCAATCGCTGAGATTATTTCAAATAGAATGACTTCTCTATATTTGGCGCCCAATTTCTGTCAAACTATTCGTTCTAATCTTGACGAATACATTTAGAAATCATAAACAAAGTAATGGGAATCCATATTAGAACATGAAAACATTTTTTAATGACAGGTAATTGTGTTCACTAGTATGAGTCTTGTCATAGAGTAGATAATAAATGTTAATACACGATAAAACTATTACATAAAACTGTTAATGGTTTTTGAGAGGATTGTTTTAGTTGTGACTAATTTTGACTAAAAATTCAAAGAAGCTGGTGTGGGACTATTGACCAAATGGAAGCTGTGTTGTGTTTACCATAAGAACACAAGTTTTTAATGAGGGCTGATAGATTGATATAGACTGAGAAACATTAAAGTGGAATGGGTTTACTGTGCAGCAGTTCGTTCCGTCCTACTTTATGGCAGTGAAACATGGCCAGTAAGAGTAGAAGATATTCGTAGGTTACTAGTATTCGATCATAGGTGTCTTCGAAATATTGCTCGTATATCCAGAGACCATCGAATAAGTAATGCAGTTGTTAGGAAACGGGTACTAGGTAAGGATGGCAAATCAATTGATGAAGTAGTGAAACTTCATCGAGATGGCTGGGACACGTGTTATCTATGCTCAACCACCGACTGCCCCGATGAGGGATGTTTTCTGGTGTAGGAGTAGGTTGGAAGAAAGCTAGTGGCGGCCAGACTAAAAAATAACACAAATCCACGAAGTCACTGACAAGTGGACTGAGCCATGTTGGTAGGTGAAGACTATCTGATTGGGATCCGTGAGACGAATAGCAACCGATGGTTTATTTATTTGAACACATAAATACCGATGGTTAGAGACCCTGAATTACATGGCTTAAAATCGTTTGTAATGGCGCAGGTGGATACACATTTTGTGTTCTCCCAGATTAAAATCTTCTGGATTCTTCATATCCCTTTCTTTTTTCTGTTTCCAAATTCATTTCACTGGATTATACTCCTTGAATAATATCTTTAAACCCTAATTTTTCCGATTATTGCTGATACTTTCACTACCTCTACCACTACGGGATTTGAATCGACAATTGTGTCTCTGTGCTAACGTGGTATGGGAAATTGAATTGATGTAAGTACGTACGAAGTTTTACATTGTTGCTGACTGACTGAAAGTAGAATGGAACAGCTGGCTAGTCTTCAACTAGATGATCAGTTGAACGAATTCTGAGTTGAAAATTGTTATGGACATTTTTTCTCGGATCGATCATCTAACAATCAGTAGGGGAGTTTCATGATCGAGGTTTTAGGATGAAATATTTATAATTAGCCATGTCAACCATTCCAAACCGATCTATATGACAAGCCAGAGTCGCGTAGGCAAAACCAAACACCCATTAACAGATAGATAAAGTAGGACATTACCATCTCAAATGGGTTGAAGGAAAATGACTATGCAAACCAATTTTTTAAACAACAACATACCTAGAAAGTCGTGAAGGGAATCCTGAGCTACCAAAAGGTCGTTTCCTTTAGAGTAGAGAAAAAAATTATGAAATTCATTTGAGAATCTTTCAAATTAACAACAAAAGATACAACAACAATAACTGGCTAGTGGAATGAGATGATCATCAAACTATGTGATACATATTATGGGAATACAGATTTCGCACAATGCGATTATAAGTTACATGTTAAGATTTGTATCACAATTAATGATATATACACCCTTAAAACATTCAGTGGAAACGTACAGCACCAACAACGAGAATCCCGTTCTCTAAGAGTTGTTCTCAATAATTTACAAAATATAGATGAACAGTTTAATTGTTTAGTATTTATATAAAAATCTCGTTACAGAATAGGACACCAAGATGGATGTCACACACGTACACACACGCAAAGAAAATAGGAGTGCAAGAACTGTAAGGAACAGTAAAAACTGAAGTAAGAAGTATTATCTACTCAGTTCAACAAGGGTCAATTTCCTAGCAAAATTATTGAGTTGGGATTGCTATCGTCGCTGAACAATTAAACCAATACGTGAGAACACTAAAGATGTTAAGCTTTGATGGGAAGTGCGGTGACCTAAGGCTGATCTCTCTAAAAATTACTTGGCATATACATCTAAAACATAAGGCTACTTGACAGAATGAAATTGGACTATTGTTCACTCACACGATAAATAAGTGAACAGTTGGGATGTGAAATGTGAAAACATGCTTTTTGACTTGATGCGCAAGAATTGAACTAGATGGTCAGGTCTTAATTATACGGGCAAATTAGTGAGCCACAAAACATATTAATAATAGCCCATTTGATATTTATTTATTTGAACACATAGATATTGGTACAAGGGCACCAAATATACATGCGCCACACAAATCTCATTTGATTTGTGTGAGGTCTGTGATATTCCCCGTGTGTCCAAATCGAAGTAGATGGTATTTTTAGAAGGCCACACCCGGAGCCTTCGACACAAAGGTCTGATCCACAAGGCAGTGGAGCATCGTAAGGAGAAGCAACTCTCAACGATTGGTTCATACGCCATTTGTTCTTTCAGGACATTGGAGGCCATGTGCACCACTGGTTTGGAATCAGGGTTTTCCAACTACCCTAGGTGAACTCTCCGTGTCCAACAATCCAGTTAAAGCGCCGGACATTCGCCTTTCGTCATCTCGATTTCGTAAACAACACCCCCGTCACGAAAAGGTAGTGAGTAGGGCTTCCCTGACGGAGGCTAAAAACGCGTGGCAATGTGAGAGCATTTGGGGGCTCACTCGACATAGGATATCTCATATGTTTATTTTATATTAAGGTATTATATTCTTACAAGACAAAAACGTACTATGCTGATTGCGTTTTATCACAATTTACATCTATGTGCTGGGATCAGTAACTTTGTCTCGTGAGGAGCTACCACTCGATTACATTGTATAGGTGCGCACAGTAACCAATCGGTTTATTAACATAAACCACAGCCAGACTTTTGAACAACGGGGACAGTGGTAAAAACACTGAGTTTAACCAACAGATTGCAGGTCTGACCATTATACTACTAATAAGGGTTTGGAAACCAATTAGTAGTAGTATGTAACTAGACATCACTTAAACAGTACTTTGTGAATAAATTACATTATCATCATATCTTTTAGATCATACACGAAGGTACAAATAATATCAACTTTTATCTCAACGGGCGATGTTTGCTAGTGTAGGAGCAAGCCGGAAAAAAAGCTCGAGGTAGCCACACCAAAAACGTAGCACCAATCCATAAACATAATTATCACTGAACTTGAACCATGTAAGTAGGTTTAGACTGCCTGGCTAATTTCTGTGCAATAACTGCGACCAATAGATGGAGACTTTGTACAACACGGTTTAGAATTGGTTCACGTTTTCTCATCTTTTCAATTATGACTTGAAGTATCTTTTCAATCCCATCTCTCTGAACCATATTCCCAATATTGATTATTACTACATTATTCTGATCTAGTATAACTCATCATGTTACATTCATCTCGTCCTAATATGGCATAGTAAGTTGAACCAATGCACATATTTGCCAGGAATTATGCTGATTATGACTAAATGTTGCTACACAAACCGATGATGATCATTGACCAATTATATACCAATACGAAAAAAATGTAGTGTTCTACAAATTGAAACACTTGGATAAAATTTATGGCATGCATGAAATCAGTAGTTGAACTGACCATATCGCAACTATGGGGATTTACAAGTACACAAACACACTTTATCTTAATATATCCTACAAATACTTTGATCTAAGGTCAATTCACGAAATGTGAAGTTATTTTTTTAATTTCGAAACAAATTGACATAATGAAACGAACAAAATCAACATAAAACTTACACATTACCACCTCTCATTTCTTCAAAAACTTGTGATTTGCCCGCTGTGGCATTTGGACCTCTATATAATAAACGAAAATAGGTTAAGGCAAAAAAATCATGAGAACTATTCAGATCAAATAAGGGACAAGAAGAATGAGTTATTGGTTTCAGCAATTATTAAGGTATCCCATTGATTCAAAGGCCTTTCTATTCATTTCGGTTTAGCCAGTTGTATAGGATCACAAACCTTTATACAGAGTAGCTTGAAAAGCAAAGTAGATCTGGTTATCCGGGGTGAAATCGTAATCTAATAATTAAAGGTATTTAAATTTAATGACGAAGCCATTTATATTGTTCAAGACAGTCAGATATTATTGCTATCACTTACATACGAAAGCGTAACTGTTTTAAAATGAGTACAAAAACCCATACATGGTTACCGAGTTACAGTATTAAATCGACTAACTAACCTACACACTTGTTACCATAATGATGAAAAGTATTTAGCTTTCATTCGAATTTCGTAATAATTGTGATAGTGAAACAAGGCCTTCAGAATAATCAATAAATTTCTGTAATTCAATGCAGTAATTCGACCGTAGAAAGTGAATAGCTACTCAAAAATCTGACTTCACAAAAACTACTTTAGACGAACTTACTCTCTACGCCATGGAGTTGAGCTACCAGTGTCCATATCCAGATTTTTAGATCTAGGAGAATAAGTGGAAAATAAAACAAAACAAAGGAAATTTAATAAGGATCTATAAAAGAAATTAGGAAAAGACGATGGAAATGGATAGGACATACATTACGCAAATAATCAAACTACATCACGAGGCGAACCCTAACTTAGAATCCTGAAGGGAAACGGAAAAGAGGAAGGTCAAAGAACACATTACGTCGGGAAATAGAATCAGATATGAAAAGGATGAATAATAACTGGAAAGGTTTGCCCAGGACAGAGTTGGATGGCGAATGCTGGTGAGCGGCCTATGCTCCTTCACGAGGAGTAACAAGCGTAAGTAAGTAAAAGTTATTACTTAAATCAAAACTGACATGTACTAGTAAATTGATTTAAATTTTTGTTCAGAATATCTATCATATACGAAATAATGTTTCAGTGAATTAATAAAACCGTGAATAATGTTATGCTGCGCAGTGTCTGATTCTGGTACACGAGTCCGATCAGCTACTCCAATGAAAAATACGAGAGTAGGGAACTTTTATTTTCCAACTGAAATAAGAAATATGTGTATATTTATTAGTATATACATCTTTGTCTCCGATAAAGTAAAGCTGAAATTCAAACTAATAGGGTGTGTCTGATAACTTAAAAAGGAGGTTGAATCCCGGCCAACAGCATACCCTTACCATGTGAGCTACATCTGACTGGTCTAGATGGTACTGTTCGAGAAAAGATACACGTGTAATAAACTGACTCAATTCAGGGTCATTATAGCTGATTCTGAACCATGTAACCTATTGAGGCTAATGTCCTCAATATCTGACTCCAATAAATAATATCCCGTAAACTAAGTATTTAAGGTAGGCTTAATCTCCTAGTAGAATTACGCATTTACTCTAGATTATTGAGATGCCTGAACACCAGTTGCAGCGATAATTTATTGTTAATGATTAATAAAAATCCGCAAGAGTACAGCGAGCAAGCACACGATGAAACAGAATGTGTGAGTGTGTTTAAAATCCATATATATTTTCGACAGTTAATCCGGTGTGGATAGATTATCGATTATCTGCATATTGAAACCAATAGGAGGATAGCTTAAGAGTTAATGTACAGACATGCATTCAATCATACACACCGAAATTAACATAGTGAATTAAGAGTCTGAGTTACAATGAATAGACAAATGATACAGTGGCCAAATGGGCTTGCCACAAACCCAACGACTTTAACCACTGGTCGTGGTACCGATACAACTGAATTTAACAGTCTATGATTTCATGAACTGATGTTTGAGCTCCTTAAGTCTTCTATTCCAACTTAATCTTACTTCAGTCAACATTATGTGTTGAGGTAAGTCATGATTGAATATGTCTAATACATATCAATGTTAATTCTGATGATAAGAATTCAAAGCTGTATAGTCACCACTCATAATCTATAACTCACTTCAGGATTAATCAGTGATTTAACCATATGCAAGCGATGCTTTGAAGACACTTGAAAGTATGTTTTACTCCAACATAAACTCTACATGTTGAATAATTATTTTTGTTAACAGTAGCTGATACCTTGAAGTGTTTTCTTTATCGTCGCTTATCATAAAAGCACAAACAAGCCGTATTAATTGGAGCATTGTTGCATAATATTGACTGAATTTATGCTTTACTAAATTAGCACATCAGATTCGGATAAACTGAAATCATGAGTCAATTGAAGCTAGACCACCATGGAAAATCTGGAAGCACTAAACGACTGTTTCGTCCTAGTATGGGGTTCCTCTAAAATCACAAAACCCCTTCTAAAGATTATAAGTTTAAAACAATCTATAAGATTTGACAAGTCAATTTGATATATCCTAATCATTATTGTTGAAAGTGAATGAAACAATCAATTAGAACTTATATAATAACTGATTAAATGTAAAGAAAAACACAAATAACCAATCAGTCAGGATATGTATCTCTTACGCTCTATTGAATCCACCACCCATTGTACTACCACCTCTACCGAATGGTCTTGTTCGTTCAGTTTCTATAATTATTTAAGAAAAGAAATACATTAATTGCCGAAATAAATCGGTGAGAATGTATACAGCATACATGGTTCATAATACCAAAAAGTAGAAATATACATATGCTGAAGAAGTTAACAACAATGATTTGTCATATAATGGGTCTGCGAAACCACATCATCAAATAAGACAGACGAATTATTGAATAATAATCACTTCGAAAATATACGAAATACAAACATAAGATTGGGGCGGTATATCAAGACAGTGAAATTAGTAGCTTATATCCCAATATACAAAAGACAAAGAATAGATAACAAATAAAAAAGTTACTTAGAAACTAGGTTTATAAGATTACGAAGTAATTCACTAGCGATTACATGATAATTAACAGTATGGGGTAGCGGATACTGTTGACTTTCACTGAAACCATAAATTAAAGCTAGGCAACCGTAGAAAACCGAGGTATGAGGAAAAATAAAATATAGTCAAGCACTATCATGGAGCGATTCAAATCAGACTTGTACACGATTAGATGCCCAGTAGTCTAAGGGTTAGGCGATTGGGGATGACACCGAGAGTTCTGGGTCCCACTCCCGGTTGTGGGGTCACGTATACACACTACTGGGGAGCCCCAGTCTAGCAAGAAACAGGTGTTTATGGCTTTGAGGTTTTCACTGGTTGTCTAACTAAGATCGGTTCGTGATTTTAATCGATTTCGGCAGTCTCCACAACCCCATCCCTAAAACTTTTATTATTAGTAGATAGAAAATGTAATCAAGGTCCATACAGTGCTATAAGTAAAAGTAGACCGTTTCAACCAATAAGTAATACAACGGTGATTGGTTGGCTAAAACAGCTTTCCACAGTAAGAAAATATTGGAAGATTTGACAAATCAGCACTACTCAACAGGTCAAACCTACTTGAACGTGTCTAAAATCTATGTAATATTAAATGATATGAGCTGATAAAGATAAGTGAGACAAAGCAGTATGTAAGTACGTGAAAACTGGTCACTAGATTAAAGCTATTGGATAAAAAAATATAAGGTGACACAGCAAACTAAATGCTGAATTAGAATCATTAAATATTAAGATACAAATTAGTTAGAGATTGTCACAATATAAAATAATATTTGCATAAATAATGCCAAGTTCAATTGTGAATAATAATAATTGTACAGATCGACTAACTGAAACCACATCAGAATTTTACAATTAAAGATCAGTACGAATTTCGAATGCTATAGGTGTACAGATGATGGACAATGACACTTTAAGTGAATTCGTATGTTTTCTTTTTTGAGTAATTTGGAATACTTCGTCAATAGAAAATTAAAAAATAAAATAATAATATGATTCAAGTTTCACTTAAAGTTATATGCAATCTTTTTTTATGCATTACCACCACTGAATTAACTACTCCTATGAATCCGGTGTTCATCTTGCTGTGCTAATGCGGTATGGGAACTTGGACCGATGCATATATGTGCCTAGTCCTACGTTGTAGCTGACTGACTGACTTTGTTTAGAAACACTAAATTCGATATGAACAATCCGAAAAAATTACGATTAATAAATAACCCATGAGAGAGCCTTAAATGGTAAACACGTGACAACCGATTGATCCTGTCGTGCCGCGCTTTATTTAAGCAAGTAAAATGGCACATTGATGGAATGGGAGGTTGGATGGTGACGAAGGAAGAACATGTCTGTCAATAGCAATCGTATTAATATCTGTGTTTGAGCTGAAATACTGACGAAATAGAAGCCAGAAGTTCTTTTACGAGGCTACATAACCTAGAGGACAAATCCACAAGAGAGTGAAGCAACGTCAGGTGATATAGTTCTATGGTGGCCGGTGACTAAAACAGGTTCGTATAATTGTTGTTTGTTTAGGATCCCAGAGACCATGAAGGGTATTGGTTTGGAATTAAGGTTTTTCAACCATAGCTATCTTTATTCAACAACTTGATTTAAGCTTCACAAGTCAGCTTTTCTACCTTTCACTTTTATGAAAGCACTCTTTCAGTGAGGATTTCCCTACCAGAAGTTGTAGACATTCAGTCGTATGAGAGCATTTAGAGAATAAGTTTCCAAAAGCAACAAGCAAACTTACCTCTACGTGATCCAACCTGAGTCCAACCACCAGCGTTACCAGAGTCATCTTCATATAGAAGCGAATCAAATTCAGAAGGAACAGCTAAAAAAAGCGAAGATTTCAGTAGCGAAAGATGACGATACTATATATATATATATATATATATATATATATATATATATATATACAGAATAATGCTTTAACTTACTTCTTCGTGGACCACTTCGACTCCAAGTATCTTTGGAAGGATCACTACGGAGAGTTGGTGTATTATCGAAACCAACTATATATGTATATATAAATAAAATGAAAAAAATTTTGTAAAAAAGGGATTCTTCGTACATAAATAAAATGTTTGTTTTTATTAGGAAAAAAATATTATTTGATTTACCTCGTTTACTTCCCGATGACCGACCAAAATCTGAATATCTTGACGTATCATCACGTCGAAAGTCTAAAGTGAAATTAAAAACAATAGTTTGTAAATTTGTGTTAGTTTCAGGATAAAGAGGTGTTGTATATTCCATAAGCACCAGGAAGTACGAACGAACAAGCACACAACTCATGCGTATATATACAGTACAAAAATGTTTTTGGAAACACAACAAAATAACGTACTAAAAGTGGAGACGAACTAATGATATTTATGGTCCTTCCAATTGGGAAATACAAACTGAAGGTGAAAATGGGTGCTTTTTGGTCGAAAATGAGAAATTCAAATTTCCAAAATGAAATTACAAGAATGAGACGTTTACCATGTGATTATTGGTGATCTAGCATCCTCCAACAAACCATACTAACATCATAAGTTATATTACTATAATTTCAACTGTTTTAAGTTGTACACCTTGTTACTTATTTTTATTTCACTGAGTCAATGTATATTTGTATCAAATGTTGAGTTGATTATATCACCAATCAAGAATTAGTAATACGGTCTGGCGACAACAAACAGATGATAAATATGAAATAACTATGTTTCACGTTTAAACACTTGAAAAACTAAACTGAGCATATTAGATCCATATATATGATACTAGATAGTTGAGACAAAAGATTAGATCATATGATGAACAAATCCTACCAACAATAAAAAACGAAGTTTTATAGATCAAAATAACTAATTATTGACATGAGTTATAAGCAATCATATAAAGTAAAATTCAGAGTAGAATATAGTGAAATCAGAGTCATGTATATAACATTCACTTATATTCCTATACCCGAATATGTCTTTTAATTTAAGTTAAATGCGTAAGGTCACATTGTCGTTGCATTACTAACTCACTATGACTTGTACTTAGTGACAATTACTCCGTTCATAAATCTTAGTAATTACAACTGGCTAACTAAAAAATCATTTTTACTTATATTGAAGCCATTACAGGTAAGTAAAGTTGCATTACAAAACTGAACGTTCCTCTCTCTCTCTTTAGTTAATGAATGGGAGGGGGTAGGAAACAAAAAGGCAGAAATAATTTTGCTCATTGTAAATAAGTTTGAGTTGCACGGATGCATTAAATTCTTATAATCCAATAAACTTTTTAAAAAAAACTTACCACGGAATGCGTTACCAGAAGCACTACTAATTTCAGATTGACGATGTCGAGCAAAAGGATTAACCGATACAGGTTCATCTGAATATTGTTGTTTTTTTATTTTTTAAACAAAAAAGAAATTATTAATTAGCCAGTGAATGAATATCGAAAAGGAAGGAAAAAAAAACCCAACAGTTATAAATTCACATACATGTATTGACATCAGCTTCAGATTTCTCAGTAGATAATTGTCCACTTGTCATAGTAACTAAATTTTGGGTATGAATTTTGAAAGATGCATGTTTTACGTACAGATATGAACGGTAAAAATAGATAGAATAACAATTGATTTAAGAATTATTTGTTTTCATTCACAGGCATATAATTTTAATTCTATGTCTCTAAACATAACGGTCTATTAGAATGAAAAGTATTCCATCTGAATTAAGACTTATATAAACAGAGCTGAGCTATGTTGGTAGGTGTAGAGTATCTGGTTGGGGACCGCCAGATGATAGCAACCGATGGTTAGAGACCTTGAATGACATGGCTTAAAATCGTTTGCAATGGAGCAGGTGCATACATTCATTGTGTTCTCCCGAATTCTTCATGTCCCTGTTTTCCTCTTTCCAAATTGATTTCACTGGATTATACTCCTTGAATAATATCTTCAAACCCTAATCTTTCCGATTACTGCTTATACTCTTATTACCTCTACCACCATGGGATTTGAATTGACAACTGCATCTCTATGCTAAGGTGGTATGGCAACTCGAACTGATGTACGTACGTACAAAGTTCTACGTTGTTAATGACTGATTTATATAAACAGAATATAGGTGACAATGCCAAGGCTGAACATGATAAATTCAATAAACGGTTTTTAATAGAAAAAAATATTCAATAATTAAAATTTTGTGGTGTCCTATTCAGTGGAAATTCGGATTTTTGACGTTTGATGATGACTTAATGTAAGTCACTTCTTCAGGGTAAATAATAATAATAGTTTAAACTTGTGTTGATTTAATCCGGTTACTTGTTTAGTCTGAAGAAAATGACTTACATTAAATCATAAAACGTCAGAAATCTACCTTTATATTCATTGGGATATAACAAGAATAATGACTGTTCTAATTCATGGGTTTATTGTTTCTACAAAGGGTTCTGATTTAATGAAGATATATATGTATCTACAACGTAGGAACAGGCACATATGAATCGGCCCAAGTTGCCATACTTTATTAGCCATGCAGCTATGAACAACCTGGCCGCGATCCGTGCCAATCAGTGATTGGAGACGGGCGAGATAGTTTGGAATCAGTCACAATAGTCTATGCGCATTCACCATTCCTCTTTCCCAACTTACTTACTCCTGTAAGCATAGGCCGTCCACTAGTATTCTTTTTCCTTAGAACTTATAAACTTTGTTTAAATAAACCACTTTTTTCTATGTATAATTTTTTAATACTAACACTTGCACTACATTGACAATTTTTTTGATTTTATCTCTGTGTGATGATATAGTGTGGCATCTTAAATTGATCCACATATGTTCCACCTCATACATTGATGATAACTGATATTTTGAAGCACAGGTTAGGTACGGCTTATTGTAAGTGTTTTGTGTAATCAATTTTTGTATGGAATTTTCTAATGGAACAACTGGTGGTTGATTAAACAACAGAAAAGATAACTAATTTTGCCACATTCATGAATATGTAAAGAATCCAACTCTTTTTTAAGGAGATGATTATTTTGTGCATGCCAGTAAACTCATAATTTAATCAGTGGTATAATGAGTATTTCGTATAATCATCTAGGAAATATATATGAGATGGTGGAGAAGATTTGTAGATCAGGTGGATGATTTTGATGGAGTTTTTTTCTCTGAGCTGGATGGTTTGGTCGTGGAGCTTTCATCGTTCGCCATATGCATATGGAGAAATTCGAACACATGACTTCTATTTGAAGTTTGTGCTGATGATTTCGTTCAAAGAACGATAAGAACTCCACGACCAAACCATCCAGCTCAGAGAACAAAACTCCACCAATATATATATATATATATATCCCAACATATCATATATTTAGTCTATAAATCTAGAGTATTCAGAGTAATTCATTAAATTATTTTTAATACACTTTGAACTTATCATTTACAAACTGAAAACTACAAGGATATGAGTCGATTAACTTGAAGTTATATCTTTCAATCTGATGGTTTAAGGAAAGAGTGTACGCATCTACGCCATTGTGATTGATTCTGAGCCATGTCACTCAGTCTTCAACCATTGGTTACGCTAGTCACACGGACCCCAACCAAGTAGTCTGCATCTATCAACGTGGCTCAGACCAGGAGTTAGTGACTTTGTGGACTGATTCCACGTTTTGGTTTGGCCGCCCCTAACATTTTACCATCCATCCCCGACATTATTCAGCATTGCGCGCCGTGGTAATCGATGTTCAGGCATGTGTGATACATGACCAAGCCCTGTTAGGCGATATAGGTTCTCAACCCCACAAACTGATTTCTTATAAGTGAGGAAGACATTAATTTCTTGAGAAAAAGTTGTTATTTAAAATACAGTGAATGACAAGTTGAAGTGTTTTTTCTTTGATATTTCCCAAATGAATACATGGCGTAATTATATTTCGTATTGATATGTTACTTGACCTGGAAAGTTACACATTAGATTTTACCTTTATTGAATTTAATAGTTTCTCATATAAAGAATATCAGCAAGTCAACAAAAAAATAAAATAAAAGCATAACTCGAAATAAATACAAACCTCTTTTAATATCTCCACGTTTCCATGCCTTGGACTCTTCCTCAATTCGAGCAGCCTCACGTTCTGCCGCTTCTTTAGCTTCTATAATATATCCATGAAAGAAGTAGGAGGAAAGAAAAACAGTGCAAAAATAATAAAAGACTACTTATCAATCGGAAAATGTTTTAACTAATTTATTCTGGTTAGTGTTTTTCTAGTAAGGTTTTTTTTCTACGGGACACGGTTTCTGACCCCATGCCCAACTCTCCTTTATCCGGACTTGAAACCGGCAGTAACCCTAGAAGGGCTACAGGTGTAAGTAGTCAGTAGAATTAACAATTATTATCATCAATGGATAATGTTTATTTTGTTAACTGAATATTATATATTAGTCTAGTCTATCACTTCGACTTACGCTCCATAAGACGTAATACGGGTAAGTAATTAATTACCCTATCATCTAAAAACTTGATAAGATTAAAGTGAAACTCTTAATGTTGATCAGGTGTGATGTAGTGTCTATGTCGTTAACAGGAATATAACAATTACAGTGAATATAATATGGACTAGATATTGAGATAAAACCGTTCTAAAATATACTGTAAAATTAAATAGATAGAACCTATTGGTTAATTCTATTATAGACAAATGAAATACCAGGATTTATTAAAAGTTGAGAATCATAAATTCTGTGCCTTTACGATACTGGACGTTGTGAACAAACAACAACATATTACTTATAAACAAAGAAAGGAAACGGGAAAGAAGAAGGCCAAAGAACGCATTGCGTTGAGAATTGGAAGCAGACATCAAAAGGATTGTCTAGGACAGAGTTCGATGGAGAATGCTGGTGGGCAGCCTATGTTCCTCCACGAGGGGTAGCAGGCGTAAGTAAACAAAATTGATGGGTGATTAAGTTAGAATAAAATCAAAATATTAGACAGTTAAAGAACACTAACTTTAGTGGTAAAGAAATAAGAGATAAGTGAACAATACAAAATAGATGAAGTGAATAGAACGAAGGATAACAGTCAGTGTTATCATTGAACCATTATCAGGAAAATTATTTTTCAAACTAATAATTAAGATATGTATCTGTGAATTTGTAAGGGCATCTACCTCTTAATATTCAGTATTCGTGTAATATTAAGAGTTTCTTTTTCATCCATTGAGTATGTGGATGCTATAGAAGAGGGTAATTTTCACTAATGATTCCATAACTTTCACTTTATTTGCTTTTTTTGATCCGGTAAGTCAAGATACACTACAGAGTAGTGTATTTACTGAAGACATATGCAAATAGATTTCAATGAATCAAATTAAGTCCCAAATGAGAATTGCACTGTAGCATTGAGACACTAAACGAACGGAGTACTTGAAAATGGCTGGCATAGCAATTTTACTGAATAATGAAAACGAACGGTTATCCTCATATACGAATGATCAACGAATTGAATTTGATTGAATGTGAAAATGTTGGGGACGTTAGATCCCCAGAACTCAGTTGGAAAAGGACCTAATTTTGTAATTTTATTTAGAAAATTTGAATTTTTTTGTTTACGCGCGAAAAGCGCTCTTTTCACATTCATGTCGCATTTCCCACTTGGGAGAATCTTAAACACTATTGGTCCGTTGTGTCTTTTGTAACGCTTCCCAAGGACGTTTTTATTCTGTATATATACGTCTTGATTTGTGTCTGTTGTGATCGCTCGTTTCTGGCAGTTTGCGGAATATACTTCCCCATTCGAACTTCGCCTTCTCTCTCTAGTAAGCGGGTATGGGACGCAACAGAATAACTATTTATTGGTCTTTGGTCACAAGTCTTTGTTTTGTTCGCAGACTAAGTGAACTCATAACCGCTTCAAACCTAGCAGAAACAATTTTAGAAGCCTGATACGATTCACTTTGAATTTGGAGAGAATACACCTACACAAACCTGTAATCATGTAGCGATTTCGCGTAAGAATTTTGTACAAGCATATACAAATATGTTTTAAGGCTGAACACTCATTCATTTAACAAATAAGCGTGCCACCTTAAACTTATTAATTATTTTATACTAATTCACATGACTAATTATAAGTTTTTATTTATGTATAATTTTAATGTGTAACTGTTTATATGTCATTGACGATTTGGACAAAACAAACTCACCCAATTCACCACTTATGGTAACATTAAACAACACACATTATACAATGTAATCTGCACATTAATAGATGGAAACTCATATTTTCTTTGCCCCCAAGTTTGGTCCGTTGATTAGGGCTTTATGTTTTGACTTTTGTTTTAACTCTGATAGGAATAATCATGGTAGAAGCGTTTGGGTCTACTAGTGATACAAATTCACTCGGGACCTCAGTTATATCTAGTTAAAGTCTAAGAACATAGAATACAACATTTGGTATTTTTAAACAAAATCTAAGAAAAATGAAATACCTTGTTCTCGTTTCTGACGTTCAGCTTCTGCAGCTAGTTCACGTTGTTTCTGTTCTTCACGTTCAAGTGCTTCTTGTGCAGCTCGACGACGTGCCTCAGCTTCTAATTCAGCCTCATGTTTAGCTCTTCTTTCAGCCAATCTTTCCGATCGTTTTTGATCACACAGAGCCTCCCATTCTGCCAATTTAGCTCTATACCGATTATCACGAGCTTCTTTTAATTGACCAACAAGACGCTACAATTGTACATAGTAAACAAAAATGTCTGAACTATCACTGGAGCATCAGAGTGATAAAACTGATGATCGAGAAATCTTAAATGAGTTCATATCACATTGTGCTTTATGGAACTAGAACTACGGTGGAAAATAGTTCCAAATATTTGATGCTATCATTAAATTAGTGATGAAAAAGTGTGGCAAGTTCTATGATTTATTAATGCCCAGTACAACGTGGATTTATTTTCAAAGAATTTGAAATTACACAAAATGTTTGATCTTCAGAAAGAATTTTTCGATCAGTCGTATACCTTAATTACACTCTGTAGTAATATTTGATAGATAAACGATATTCGTTTGAGATACTTCATAAGGTTTAACGAAGACAGTAAACACAACGAAAGCACCCAACTATTATGTATTTACGACATTTTGGTAGTATTAGTGATGAGTAAAGTTCAGAACCCTCGAAACCAAGTATGCCACTTATGATTTATTTCATGAAACTTTTGTAAAATATTGCTCTATCACACTGAAGTTTCCTACAGTCAGTCGGTTAGTATTAATGTAGAGCTAGGCACAAATTTGTGGTAGCTTAAATTATCCAATCGCATCAGCACAACAAGACAAATACCAAGGGAGTCGAAATGATATCAATGCGAATACTTATTGAGCATTTGACTCCAAAAGTGTAAGGACCAAGAATATGGCTTGGGAAGACAATGGAAAGATATATATGAAGGGAAGCAGGAATTCAAGATAAAAAGTACGTACACTTGGGCCATCATAACTGGTCTTGAGCCATGTTAACTACAGCCTCAAACTATTGATCTCGATAATTGTACGTACTTCAACCACGTAGTCGAAACATACCTACATGGTTTAGTTTAATTACCAATGACTTTATGGGGTGATACGACGTTTTGCTTTGGACACGCCTAGCTCTTTTAATCTACTAATACACCAGCAAACATCGGGGTTCGATGTCGGTGATCGTTTGACGTACGCGAAACATGTTCCGACCGTCTTCTCAGTTTGTGAAGGTCCACTGATTTACCAAAGAATATACCGTCACATATTACTTTACGTCTAACTTCGGAATAGCTCACTCCGTCAGAGACCGATGATCAAACATTGGTAACCTACAAATATCCTGTTGTTGAATGCCATGTTTTACAACCATAAAGGATAACAGAACGAACTGCGCATTTTACTCATTCTTTCTTGGCTTCTTGTTTCCCGATTGTTGAAGACTATTGTAAAACATTTACCAAATACGACGTTACACAGCTTTCAACCAAACTCCTTAGGTGAGCGGTACTAACTAGCTGACTGAACCGAGCAAAATATGTGAATCGGGTTTTAAACCTTGGATATATTGTTCTAAGCTAGACATTAAAAACAAGACAATTTGAATTAACCTTCACAACTAAAAGTAAGCTAACAAGACAGTTTAAAAATGTGTTTTGAAATACATAAGCTTTTCATTAGACCATAAGTTGCTTCGCCCCCTGAATGCCCTGGTACGGCCGAGAGTGGGGAGAGTCCGCTCTCCCTCTCGAAATACTCTCACACGGCCACGCGTATATAGCCTCTGCCAGGGAAGTCCTACTCATTGCCTTCTCGTGGCGGGGGTGTTGTTTACGAAAATGAGAGGACGAAAAGCGAATGTCCGGCGCTTTAACCGGATTCCAAACCAATGGTGCACATGGGCTCCAGTATCCTGCGGGAACGAATGGCGTATGAACCAATCGTTGGTCACCGGCTACCATGGGACTGCATCTCCTTACGATGCTCCACTGCCTTGTGGGTTAGACCTTTAGGTCAAAGGCTCGGGGAGTGGCCCCCTAAGATAACCACCTGCTTCGGTTTGGGCACCCGGGCAGTATCACAGCCCACACACAAATGATGAACTCTATGTCCATGGAAATTACCTTTGTCGCTTTGAAAAACAATCAATTGATTCAAATTATGATCACTACAATTATTGTCATTATTAATACTAATATTATTATTACTACTATTATTGTCATTATTGTTATTATTATCATTATTATTATTATTTTCCACATTATTCACCCTCTTTTATACTTATACAGCGGCTCGTCTTTGGTGGAATTCCGACTGTATCTAAACGTTCTCGAGTCACTGTCCGGTTGAAAATTGTATGTTACCACCGAATACGAGGACTGAAGCAGATTTTCTGAAACCACGTGCATCATTCAAACTGGCTGCCTTCAACGTTCGCACATTTATGCAGGTCGGACAACAGATAGGGCTGGCTATGTCTTTGGAAAGTCTTAATATCGACGTGTGTTGTCTATCCGAGACCCGTATTCAAGACTCTGGCGAAGTACTACAAATTCGATCTCCATCTGTCGCTTCGAAAAGCCTGTTTTACGTGCGCTTATCCGGGGACCCTGTGGCATCTTCGTCTGGTTTTGCTGGCGTTGGTGTCGCACTAAGCGCTAGAGCTGAGGCAGCACTAGTCGATTGGATCCCCATTAACAGTCGGTTATGTGCTGTTAGATTAGAAAGTTCCATCAAAGTGAGAAGAAATCGGCGTGAGAAACGATGTCTTTTCGTCATCTCCGCCTATGCCCCGACAGATTGCAGCCCGGATGCAATCAAGGATGAGTTTTACCACCAGTTATCAGTTCTTCTCCAGAAAGTGCGTTCGACAGATATTGTAGTACTAGCCGGAGACTTGAATGCTCAGGTCGGGCGTCTAGGCACAGAAGAGAGTCGTTTAGGTGGCCGATGGGGACTCGTTGGTCGCAGGTCAGATAACGGGGACCGTCTACTGCAACTTTGCGCAGACCACAACCTGTTTCTGGCTAGCACTAACTTTCGGCACAGTCATCGCCGATGTGCCACCTGGCGTCCTCCCTCTGCATCTCAAGCCTGGACTCAGATTGATCACATCGCGATCAGCTACCGCTGGCGTGGTTGTGTACAAGACTGCCGCTCCTTTTGGAGTACCTATCTGGACTCTGACCATGCCTTGGTCTGCGCCAATCTTGCCTTACTTTTCAGTGGACAACGAAGTGAACGCCATCAACGGATTGATGTTAGCAAGCTGGTTGCAACTTCTGTTGCAAGTAAGTATCGAACCGAGCTAGCCTCTAGGCTAGCTACCACTCCACCGAAAAGTATAGATGAGCATTGGTTGCAATTGCATGACGCCATGAAAATGGCGGGAACAGTCAGTTGTGGGTTTGCGAAACGTCCCGCTTTTAAGCACTGGGTTTCTTCTGGTTCCTTACAACTCATTGAAGCCCGTCGGTCTACTCCGGGTAACCGTGAGTTTGACCATAAACGAAGGATTTTACGTAAGGAAATCGGGCAAAGCTTGCGTAAGGACCGAGAAGCCTGGTGGTCGATGCGTGCTAATGAGCTGGAAGCAGCAGCTGCATCTGGTAACTACCGGAAGCTCTTCCAACTCATCCGAGCCACTGGCAGCAAGAAGTCTGGTGTGAGTGAAACAATCTGCGAGGATGATGGGATGCCAATCACTAACATCCATCGACGTCTTGGACGATGGGCAGAATTTTTCGAAGGGCAGTTCAACTGGCCTGCTGCTCCGGTAACATCGGTCAGACTGTCCTGCCCTCCATGGCCGGTGACGACTGATCCACCAAATGAGGAGGAAGTCCGCAAGGAACTCCAACTCTTGAAGCGTTACAAATCACCTGGCCCAGATGACTTACCTCCGGCTCTTTTTAAAGATGGTGGTGACTTTTTGACTAAGGAATTGACGACGTTGTTTACAAAGGTTTGGGAACTAGAGAGTGTACCAACGTCATGGAATGAGTCGATAGTTGTCCCTATCTTTAAAAAGGGTTCACGTCGTTCTTGTAACAACTATCGGGGGATAAGTTTACTTCCGATTGCGTCCAAGCTATTGGCTTCCGTCATTCTTCGTAGGTTGTTCAAAACCCGAGAAAGATTGACTCGCGAGGAGCAGGCTGGGTTTCGTTCTGGTCGAGGATGTATTGATCATATCTTCACCCTCCGCCAAATGTTAGAACACCGCCATACTTTTCAAAGGCCAACAATCGTAGTGTTTCTTGACATCAGGGCTGCCTTCGATTCGTTGGATAGGACTGTTCTCTGGGATTGTCTATTGAAGAAGGGTGTGCCTGAGAAGTTTATTAACATCCTAAAAGCCCTGTATAAAAACACCTCAGGCAGAGTGAGGGCATACAACCACCTCTCTCCATTGTTCCATTCGAGCAGTGGGGTTAGGCAGGGTTGCCCAATCTCACCATTCCTCTTCAACTTTGCCATCGATGACATTCTGGAAACAGCTCTGATGAATGTAAGTAATGGTGGTGTGGATCTGTTGCCTGGAGAAAGACTTCTCGACCTTGAGTATGCGGACGATATTGTCTTACTGTGCGATAATGCCCAAGGCATGCAATCCGCACTTAATCAGTTGGCAATCAATGTCCGTAGGTATGGTATGTGCTTTGCACCTTCGAAGTGCAAAGTACTTCTACAAGACTGGCAGGATTCTAATCCTGTACTCACCCTGGATGGTGAGCAGATAGACGTAGTTGAGAAGTTCGTGTATCTGGGTAGCTGCATAAGTGCTGGTGGGGGTGTGAGTGATGAGATCAATGCACGAATAGTGAAAGCCAGAGCGGCTTATGCCAATCTGGGCCACCTTTGGCGCCTTCGTGATGTTAGTCTGGCTGTAAAAGGCCGGATCTACAACGCGTCGGTGAGAGCAGTTTTGCTCTATGCTTGTGAAACCTGGCCTCTCCGAGTTGAGGACGTTAGACGACTCTCTGTGTTCGATCATCGCTGTCTCCGAAGGATTGCTGACATTCAGTGGCAACACCATGTCAGTAATGCAGAGGTTCGGCATCGTGTGTTCGGGCACAGAGATGATAACTCAATTGGTGTCACCATCTTGAAACACCGACTTCGGTGGCTTGGACATGTTCTCCGAATGTCGTCCCAGAGAATTCCACGTCGTGCATTATTTGCCGACTCTGGGACTGGTTGGAAGAAGCGGAGAGGTGGTCAGTGCATGACATGGTGTCGTGGCATGAAAGAAAGCTGCAAAGGACTGGCTTGTGTTGGTCCTTCACGACTCCCTGGCTGGGGTCCGAGAGATGGTGCTACACAGTGGCTAGAGACGTTATCAGATATGGCTCAGAATAGAAGCCAGTGGCGATCCTGCTGTAACCTTCTTTTACTTTCTTCATAAAAAGTGGTTGTGTCTCCTTTACCTGAAAGATTTCTTCTGATTGTACCTCTTCGTCATTACTCTCTTTTTCTTTTGCGTTCCTTAGTTTTTTTTTTTTTCTCTTCGAATTCCCATTGTTTTGTGTGGCGCATATATATTGGCGCTCTCTTGTACCAATATTTATGTGTTCAAATAAATAATAAAATAATATTAAGTTGCTTCAATTGTGAAAATCTGTTACAAGGAGCATCAACAGGTAACAATTTGTAAGACAGTCAGTCAACCAAATAGTGAATTTTTATTTTGAACATCCGACTTAAAAAAGAATGATTGTTTATTTAAATGGTATTAAAAACTAATTAACAGGAGCAATTTATTTATAGTAAACTTTCAAGAATTCACTCGTTAAAAGATTTCGGGGACATGTACTACAACCAAACATTATCACTCAAGATAAAACTGTCAGTAGATTAGATATTTCACTTTTCCTAGCACTATGAAATGATTTGTGAGTTAGCATTTACAATAGTAGAGTGATTGCTTAGTATTTTAGGGCTTTCCACTTTTAGCTATTAAGTCATAGATTTAAACGTTATTCTATCTACTTCAGTTTCGGCAACCGGGCAAGTATTACTAGCACTAAGACTTGAAGTGTGGCCCAAAGTCAAGGACACACATCTGTACTTGCAAAATAAGTTAAAACAACAGCTATGAACAAGTTACCTACGAAGTTTGAAAACAGAAAAAAAACATGCAAAAAAAACGAATACCTGGACATCTGATTTCATTCGAATCAATCGATTACGTTCTTTCAATTGTCGTGCATGCTCGGCTTTCGAATGCTCCTCAATTTCTCTGACACTCTGCTCAAATAATTCACGAGATTCAATAGCTTCCGGCTCAATATTTGCCTGTAACAATGGGATTTCTTCAATTCGACAAGCACGTGTATAATAGTCCAATTTTTTCGCCATTGTTTTAGCCTTCTCCGCTAGTTCTTTTCGCTTTTTCTTCACCTCTTGTTTCTGAACAATGAGAAACAAACAGAATGATTAAAACTAAAGTAGGAAAATAATAATTATCTTGACCATAGACAAACGCCAAACAATAAAATTACTACTATTTATTAAAAATATATTCATTGTTGGATTAAGTCATATTGTTATAATTCTCTCTTATTGCAAACCAAGCTATTCCTATTGCTTTGTATTCTCGGACACCAATTCACTCGACAAGTCCTCAAATCAGAACACGGTTGAACAGGAAAGAGATTATATTCCAAAGAACAAGGTTAGATGGAAGTAAGAAGCACAGTAGGAAAAAACGCTAGGATATTTATAGCTTTTTACAGAAGATTCGAGAGAGTACTCTGAATATCGACTAGCGCTGATTAAATAACTAATTAGCAATCAGTGTGCATCAACACAATTGTACATTGAGCATGCTTTAATCCAATCTGTGTCTCACTAACACATGTAGATGGGTGCAGACAACTCGGTTGAGGTCCGTGTGATTATCGTAATCAAAGGTTAAAGGCTTTCGCTGACATGGGTATACATGGTTGTTCCGATTTTTGTCTCCCTCTCAAATCCTGAGATTATGAATCCCTTATGTTTTTTCTTTCCGAATCGAATCTTCGATGCCTGATTTTTTTCGCTACCGTTAATACTATTACTATGTCTACTACTCTGAGATTTAGTAATGGGGTATGGCAACTTAAGCCGATGTGCACATGTGGCAGGTTCTACGTTGATTATGACCGAATGACTTATGTATTAAAAATAAGACAATGGAAAAAATGTAAAACATTTGTTGCTAAGGTGGTCATGGGATAACTCAAATTTTGTTAATAATCTTAAAGTTTTACCGCGAATGCTTTCTTAAACTCAATTTATTACATGACCTTTGCCCATTTCTGATTAGTTGTCACTACTTTTCTGTATGTCTCAAAGTCACGCTTTCGTTACTATATATGCTAAGATGTGCTCAAATATCTAGTTTTTTTACATTCTATCTTACAGTGGCAGCGGATAATTATTAAAATGTTACATGTAAGATGTATAGTTTATTCAAGTTCAGATTTGTCTCATTCATATTAGAAACCAACAATTGTTCATCAACAACATTTGCCGTCAACCCAATACATAATCGTTTATAATCAAGAAATGACACTTGCAATAAAAAACTAAACACAAAAACATTCCATTTCATGCTACCAAAAGAGTGCTGAACGTAACTGAAATCAACAATTAGAGGAGGCGAAGAGAGATTAAGCTTTTTTAATCCGAATTTTGATAAACTTCTGTTGATTAGAAACTAGGATCTGAAGAAGAACAAATATATATATACACCTGCACCATTGTGAATGATTTTGAGCCAAATCACCAAAGGTCTCTAACCATAGAACCAGGTAGTCTGAACCTACCCACAGGGCTCAGTTTAATAGTCAGTGTCTTCATGGATTAATGATATGTTTTAATTTGGCCACGTCTAGCTCTCTCCCGACCTATAAATATACCAACAAACCGAGCGTCTAGATAGTCAGTAGATAAGCATACATATTACATTATTTCAGTTGATCAAAACTCATTTTTGCTTAATCGATTAGTCTCACTTATAATCCAACATTGACTGAGTATAAAACCATTGTAACCCCCTAAAAATAATTGGTTTAATAACAACTCGAATTCCGAGAGTAAACAAGGGTGTATTGATTTTTCCAGGAAATAATTTTACCAGTCTAGTGGGCAATACTTTAAGAGCATTTTCCGGAAATTTTACAAAACGACAAACACATGTAACACATAAAAGGTTAATTTATAAATGAATAATACTGAGAATAACATACTTGCTTGTTAATAAGTTTATCTGCATCAAAGTTTTCAAGCTGTTCTTCTGTTAACTCTTTTAAATCAAGTTTTGTATCAATTTTTAAATCTAAGAACATTTTCAAACTAGTACGTGCCATTCGTAATTTTAGACGAGCTTTCTCATCTTCAGTTTTCATTCGTTCACGTTGTATAGCTTCATTGGCCAAATTGGTTTCTTCCGCTTTCAATAGACGCTCTTGTTCCGCTTGACGTCTTGCTTCAACAATGCTGTAATACTATAGTGGCAAACAAAAATAAAGAACGCTCAAGTATTTTTACTATTTTAGTGAAGATAAACTACAAACGACCATCTTTTTTATTTAGTAAAAACAAATTACCTGATTCTCGTTTACCCTGATACGTCTCAATCTCTTCCTTTCGGGCTTCAATTAAACAACGTCGATTAAGCAATTCACTGCGTAAGACTTTTTCATTTTTCCGGTAATCTTGAACAAGTGCACGTCGACAATTAGCTAAAGACTGACCAACTTCCAGAATATCAGTTATCTGTTGCATCACTTGAGCAAACATTGTTAGTTGACGAGACAATTTGTCTGGGTCATTTACATGGGTTGACTAAAAAAATAAAATCAAGTTACATTATCAAAAACACTTTTACATACGAAAACGCTCAAAATTTAAATTGGAGTATATCAGATACTTTCAACGCTCGAAAGTGCAAAAGTAGTTTGTAGCATTCACTAAACAATATGCGATGTCGGAAACATAAGTCTACAATGGCTAGTGAAACAAAAAAGACTTTAATGTTGGGTACCCAGTAGGAAACCTTGGATCTAGGTTTCGTGCTAATTGGTACTCACCAGCAAGGTGCACATAGAACCTTAAGGGAACTGGAGATCCCTCGTGAATTCAAATCCTC